TGGCTACTTTGTGGAGCTGAGAGATTAAGGTCCAACACAGAGTCACAGTCGTCGTCATCATCCGTGTTGTCGTCGATGTCCTGTGTTCTTCTGAATAGCTTTATCTCACTGCCGGGTGTGGTTCCTCGACCCTGGAATGCCTTTTTTTAAGGCAGGCTTCAAAATCAGAACTTTCTTACCTGCACCGGTTCGCTTGTGATAATGACTGGGATGTTGAAGTCCACCAAATTGCGATGTCCCTCTAATTTTACTTGAAAGACAAGCTCGTATCGCATTGTTAGTACATTCCATAACGTCATTGCCATAGTGACAGGGAGATGTTCGGGTATTAGGAGTTCACCTTTTGATTGGTCTTCTTTCTTTCCGGAAATTTCTTGTGAAGCAGTAATTTGTTTGATGCTTTTTATGAGACAGGGATGATCCGGCCCAGGCAATCTGAAGTATTATGGTTCATTTCTGATTGATAGCTGTTGTTTTTTACCTATAAGCAATGTTTTGGACAAGTGTCAGCTTCACTTTCTCTAGCTTTGTATCCATGTCGAGCTGAAGCTGCCATTTTACCTTCACTTTTTCGCCATGAGAATACGCACCTTTATCCACCCAAATATCGCCGTTGATAGCCTTGCATTTCCTGAAGACATAAAATCTACGAAAGGCTACAAATGCAGAAAAAGTACCGGTGATACCATCCACCATGGGTAACGCATCTGTCAACTTTTATGTGCTGCTGGTAACAGGCCATGTGTGGCATCTTCAGAACTAACGTTCTTTCTACACGAAATGTCTTCTCTTCATGATGATTCAAAAACCATGGATCTACAGTAGCTCTGACGGAATATTCCACACACATATCGTCGCAGATTTTCATTGTAGGCGGAAAGCGGGGAAGCCACACATCTACTGCTACTTCATGTGTTTTCGTTCCTAGAACAACAAAAATGAGATCAACCAGTTTCCTTCACACAGTTTCCTCTTACCTTTTGCTTCAACGAGGATCCAAGCTTGTTCGTGCAAAAACTCGTACACCAATTTTTCCGCTTTCCTTATGTAACCGCGGAAGACCACTTGTGCCGAATGAGCCAGCTCCGAGTCGTTGGTGACTTCAACTTGTGCACGAAGCTCGTTACTGTCAGAACTGACGAATACATCCTGGACGGACAGAGAAGTGATTCGGGCGAATGATTCAGCGGAAGTCATGCAGGAGTTTGGGTTGCGCCTCGTCGTCAAGCTCGGCTTTGGTTGTGAATAATTCAAAGATCCATAGGGGTCGAAAAGCGGCGCTATTCACTATTAGCTCTTAAACAACGCTGAAATTGCTGTATTTAGGCTACGAATCCTGGATCATTCGAGCCACCGGAGAGTGATGTGCAATGGTATCGAAATGGTGGCACGCTAGTTTGTCATGGACCAGTTGCGATTGGTACCGATCGCACTGCTGCAAAACTTACTGTCGACGGAGATATTTATATCACAGGACAGGTAAATTTCCTGCGTTTCTAAGGAAATGTGCATTGTACCCAACTGCATTCTTTTCAGATGACGCGACCATCGGACATCCGCTTGAAGGAGGACATTGTGGAGAAACCGTCTCGGGATGCACTTGAACATTTGCAACAGCTGCGCATAGTCGATTTTCGCTATAAA